CCCCCCAAGATCTGGATAATGCAACAATGTTTAGGTACGAGAAAATATTAATTATCCCCTTTTTGTTTTTTTTGGCTGGCCCTTTTTTTCCGCCATTGATTCATCGGTTGTGCTTTTTGTCAAAAAAGAACAGGTCATACAAGATGTGCCCAATGATGCTATATATGTCTTTCTCCATTATATCTTACCAAATACGGGAAAGTGCAGTGGAGTGTGAGATTCTTGACCAGTGATGTGCCCAAGCTCATGCTTGATTGTTGATTGTGCTTCTTTTTGGCTTCGTCTTCCGTTTTGGTTTCCTCTTCCGCACCTTTGCCCCCCTCCCCCCCCCAACCACAGATGCAAGATGTGGCCAAGGAGCAGTTCAATAGAGTGCGAGATGCGTACGAGATTCTCAGCGATGAAGGAAGGCGACAGGTTTATGATATCTATGGGCTGGAGGGGCTGAAGTCGGGACTGGAGATCGGGGAGCGCTTGAAGACCAAGGAAGAAATAAGGGAGGAGTTCGAGAGGGCCCAAATCCGGCAGTCGGAGCGCAGGCTGCGGTCGCGACTGCACCAGACGGGGACCATGGCAATGACGATTGGCCTGAACGAACTGTGGGAGAGTAGAGAATCACAAAGGGGCTTTGGGGTGCAGGCCGCAGGACAGAGGGATGGGCTTGGGCTTAAGCAACCCAAGGCATGGGTACCAATTACGGAGTGAGTATTACAGCAGAGACGAATTCCCCTGATCCATTGATCTTTTTCTGGAAATCCATGTCGTCCAACCAACTGACAATGAATGGTCTCCACTTTTCGGTTCTTATCCTATCCTATCCTATCCTATCCTATCCTATTCTACCTCTATCTTATCCTATCCTACCACTATCTGATCCTATCGTATATCCATCCTATATCTAAACCTATATCAATCCTATCCTACCACTTATCGTTTCCTATCCTACCACTTATCGTCTCCTATCCTATCCTACCCTATCCTATCCTATCCTATCCTATTCTATCTTATCCTATCCTACCACTAATCCTATCCTATCCTATCCTATTCTACCTCTATCTTATCCTATCCTACCACTATCTGATCCTATCGTATACCGAATTCTACGTCGAATCCTATATAGAAACCTATATCTAATCCTATATCTAAACTTATATCTTATCCTATCTTATTGTATCTTACTGTATCTTATCCTATCTTATCCCATCCTGCCCTTATGGTATTTTATCCTAGCACTATCATATCCTATGCTAGCACTATCTTATCCTATCGTACCTCTACCTTATCCTAGCCTGCTCCTATCTTATCCGGCTAGGTGTCGATTACAGGGGAGTGCAGCTTCGCGCCCAGTTATAGGTGTGGTGAAGAGAGCGAGGACACCATGGAGGTGGTTTGCACGGATCGGGCTGTTCAGTTGCAATGGCGACGGTTGTTCCTCTGGTTTCTTGTTTTACTCTCACCGGCAAACAGAAAGAAGGAACGGAACAACTCATGTGTGTAGTCTGCTATGCAGACTGTGTGCATGAACCTCACCTGGAGCGAATGGAACGGCTCATGTATATAGTCTGTCTGCTATGCAGACTATATAGTCTGTCTGCTATGCAGACTATGTACATGAACTTCACCTGTCGGATGCTGGTGACGGAAACTGGTATGGAGACTATGTACACGAACTTCACCTTTAGGCAGCGACACGGAAATGTGAGCAGACTATGTTGCGTGAACCCCACCCGCAAACAAGAATAGGAATGGGACAGCCCATTGTGCAGAGTGGGGACATAGTCATAGTCTGATCTTTGCAGACTATGTTGGACTATGTAAACATGATCTATGTACAGGAGCTGACGGCTCGTATACGAGCTGACTATAGGTACAGGAGCTGCCTCTATGTACATGACCTGACTATATTGAGAGATGAGATGACTATATGTACATGAGATGACTATAAACATGACCAGACTATATGTATATGAGCTGACTATATAATATATATACATGCGCTGACTATAGGTACATAGTCTGACCGGAAATCAGAATGACATTTCTGTGAGCTCGTGAGAACGAAAAGTTGAAACAGAACAAAAAAGCGAAATGGAAATATATCCGGTTTTCAAACGTCTTGAAGGTGTTTCAAGTTTTTTCAAGTTTTTTGCCTATAAATGCTTGCAGAAGTGCAGCAGACTATGCTGAAAATGCAATTGCCGCTGTTTCAGTCAGCATCTTAGGGATGCTTAGCATAGCATGTTGGTGCGAGCCACGCCTCACTGGTGCTATATTCATGCTAGGAAAAAGCGCAAACCTGGCTGTCGATACGGCTAGGTTCATGCTTTTCGTGCACAAACGTAGTACCTGTGGGCCCAGGTCCTTATTTGGACGGTTACGAGATGTCATGCTATACAATGCAGGAGAGTGGTCTATTTTTAGACTTGACCTAGGTTGACCTAGGTTGTGAACTTGATGTCAGGAGAACGGGGGATTTGTATGTAGCTAGATGGGCCTGCCTTTTTTTATTTAGCCTCAGGGAGGAATACAGGCAGATCAGCACTCACACAACCTGTCTATTCGGCAGGACCCTTGTTGATCAGGAAGGAGAGGGGAGGAGGTGGGGCGCATGGGTGCACATGGGGATGTGAGAACTCGTCACTCGTTCAGTTAATCCCAAGCAGCTGACATGAAGGAACTCTCAAAGTAAGGAGAGCTGTGAGTTGCAGATCTACTTCTCTTGTAAAAAACTCCCTACTCCCTCCCTCCCTTGCTCCCTACTCCCTCTCCCTGCTGTTGACGCCCTCTCCTGTCTCCATACTTTCCCTTCTCCCTGCTCTCCCTCTCCCTCTCCCTCTCCCTCTCCCTCTCCCTCGTCTGACTCTCTGCCTCTTCTGACTCCCTGTCCCTGTCTCTGTCCTGTCCTTCTCTCTCCCTCTCCTCCCTCTTCCTTCTCTCTCTTCCTTCTCCCTCTTCCTTCTCTCTCTTCCTTCTCCCTCTTTCTTCTCCCTCTTCTTTCTCCCTCTTCCTTCGCCCTCTTCCTTCTCCCTCTTGCTTCTCCCTCTTGCTTCTCCCTCTTCCTTCTCCCTCTTCCTTCTCCCTCTTCCTTCTCCCTGTCCCTGTCCCTGTCCCGAATCCCTGCCTCTCCATCTCCAAAGCCTCTTTGCCCCGTCCTCTGCCCATGTGTTTGTTTGTGTGTCTGTGTCCTCCTTGACTGGCCACCTTTGTTGTCAGCGATCTGATAAGATACCCTCTTGTTTTCAGCATGGCACTCCAATCGACTGTACAGGCACCGCTTTCTGACAAGAATGTCTTAGTGCTTGGAGGCAACCTTGCGACAAGGAAAGGGCTTGGTGGCGGCAATGCAGTGCTTGTGTTCAAGCGTCAGTGCTCGTCCTATTCGTCCTGGGAAGTCGTCACAACTGCTGGCCTAAGGTCATCGATTGGTCTGCAAGTCAACAGGTTAGTAACTTAATACTAGTTAATAGTGATTTGAAATTGGAATTGCCTTCCTCTTTCTTACACCTCTCTCTTTTTTTTCTGTTTTCACTCATGCTCCGATTTCTTTCCTTTTCGTTTCCCCCCTTTCTTTTCCCTTTTCGACTCATGCTCTGATTTCGTCTGATTTCTCCTCTCTTCCGTTTCCCCAAGTCCACATAGCTTGTGTCACCATGAATAACAGGAAGTGTCGGTCAGCGATGGATTCCTGACCTTCCTGAATACCATTTCTTTTCTCTTCTGTTTTTTGCTCACATTTATTGGGTTGATACTACTTGATAGTACTTGAAACTCTTAACCTGAAAAAGACCCTAAACTTGAAACTTGAATTTCTGAGCCATTATGTTAATTGACTTGTTGTCTCATGAGTCATGACCAATGACTTGGAACAGTACAGTTTATGTTGCTGAATGCAACGCATGCATGGTTAGGAATGTGATTGTGGCACACAGATCGAATTGAATCCTTACGGATTGAATTGAATCCTTATCAACCGAATGGAATCCTTACGGATCGAATGGAATCCTTAAAGATCGAACGGAATCCTTATGGATCGAATTGAATCCGTACAGATCGAGTCCTAGCGGATGGGAATGGAGTCCTTACCGACGGAAATAATAAAAAGGGAAACACGTACAGTTATATAGCTAGCAAATTATAGCAATGGAGTTATTTCGACCCAGTTATATGCACCGAGCTATAGCCACTGAGATATGGCAGCCAAGTTAAAAAAACGCAAATGAATAACCACCAAGTTTTAGCCACTGAGTTCTAGCCACCAATGCTCCTCACAAGTTCACCGACCTATAGGAGCTGAGTTATAGCCACCGAGTTATAGCCATGCTCCAGCGCACTGGTTATGTAGCCACCGAGGTATAGCCGTGCTACAGCCCACCGGTTATGTAACCACCGAGTTATAGCCATGCTCCAGCGCACTGGTTATATAGCCACCGAGGTATAGCTGTGCTACAGCCCACCGGTTATGTAACCACCGAGTTTTATAGCCATGCTCCAGCGCAATGGTTATATAGCCACCGAGGTATAGCCGTGCCACAGCCCACCGGTTATGTAACCACCGAGTTTTATAGCCATGCCTTGATGCAGTGAATGGAAACGTACCTGGCTCGCTATGTGGTTGTCTTTCATCCCAAGGGATTGACTACCTGGGTGAGGAAAAGTACCTCCTCCTGCATTTTGCTCAGTTGCATCTCATGAGAATGGTCATCAGAGAGTTGATCCGTTGTACCCGTCGGGATTTCATTGGACAGGGTTAAATCTCCTCCTTTCAGAGAGGGATAGGATTGAATGGTTCCAAAAATTTTAGAATCAATGCTGTTCTGGGATCCTATATACACGACGTTGACGGAAGGATGCGTTTGTCGGTATGTTTTGTTTTGTGTTTTCCTGACTTGCCGGTGGATGAGGAACCGGAATGCTGCACCCCGAGAATGAATATAGAGCCAGGCTTTTAAGTTTTTTCTTTTTTTGTTTCTTTTTCTTCCCAAGAATGAACTTCAGTGAAGTTTCAAAAATTACGTTCCGAGTGAAGCCAAGTGATGATGAATCCATCTGTCTGGAGGCTTTTGGCGATCTCGTATTTGTTGCGCTTCATATAATGAATGATCAGTTCTCTCTCTCTCTCTCTCTCTCTCTCTCTCTCTCTCTCTCTCTCTCTCTCTCTCTTTCTCTCTCTCTCTCTCTCTCTCTCTGTGTCTCTCTCTCTCTCTGAGGGTAGTGGTTGGTGCCCACCTCAGGGTATCAGTTGTCGGGCAGTTGTTGATGCTTAACCACAACAGGGGTTAAGGTGGATTATCACTTGCAGTTTAATCAGTTAGGGGATTCTGCAGACTGTTGAGGGTTCAGCCTCCTGATGAGTCGGTGAAACTCCGAGGAAACAGTTTGTCACAGCCCCTCGTTTGTTGTCCT